ACACATCGTCCCCCCTCCTGACCCTCTGCTCTCTCCTAGGCCTATCTCATCTACTCCAGCAGCGTGGCAGCTGGGGCGCAGAGCGGCATCGAAGAGTGCAAGTTCCAGTTTGCCTGGGACCGTTGGAATTGCCCGGAGAGGGCACTGCAGCTCTCCAGCCACGGCGGGCCGCGCAGCGGGAAGGAGGAAAGCACTGGATACCAGTACTGGGACCCCCTCACTACAGGTTAGAGCCTGTGGACCCCTCATCTCTTCCGAAGTGCCTCCTTTTCTTCCCCATCCCCATGTGGGATGTGCCTCTCCCAGGAACGGAGACGCCTTCACCTGTCAGCTCCCAGTCACACGCTGGGATCTAGGGTCAAGACAAAGCAGCCTCGCGGTGCCAGCATCACCTCTGGATCCACCAAGCCCCAGCTTGTGCAGGACAGGAGCATCCCACCAACCCTCACACAACTGGCTCCCCTCAAGGATGCACCACCACAATCTCCAGCATGGGCTGCCAAACGTGCCATGCCTAGGTGGTGTCTCTTGCCAAGGTGTTCCAGGGAGTCTGAGGACCAGCAGGGCGGGGTGGGGGGAGTGGAAAGCAGAGGGATATTGCTAAAGAGAGCAGGAAAGAATTCCTCAGTGGTTATGCTCTGGCCAAGAGGCAGGAGAAAAGTCTTCCCACAGCTTCCAGATGTCAGAGTCACCTTGGGCAGAAATCTAGCATCCATAACCTGTGCCACTGCAGGCAATGGGGCTGTGGTCATTGTCACTGTGTCCCATTCCTTACCTGTTTGCAGATGCCAGGAAATGTGTCAGTGCATACCTGGTCCTCTAGACCCATGTATGATGCTGTGCTGAGGTCACACCTGGCCTGTACAGGCAGCACCTGCATATGGAGGAGAGGCTCTGGTGGCACTGGCAGTAGATGAGGGCCCAGGGCCCAGGCAGATGTGGATAGAGGTTTCAAAGTGGGGCCCTGAGGAGACAACTGTAGCACACTCTAGGACTGGGAACAGATTCTTGAATAGTTCCCATCAAGGTTATCTGCTCACATCCAGACCTTGCCGGTATTAAGTGAAAGTCAAAGGCTCGGTGAAGTGAGCTGATGATCACACCAATCCTGGCAGGTGGACATGGCCAGTGCTCTGAGCCCTGAACAGTGTCCAGCAGAAGGTAAGGCCCGAGGGTGCTGTGGGGAGAGCTTGATCCTTGGAGAGGGCCCCTTCCCTTCTGGGGTGTATTAGTGAGCCATGGGGGACGTTCAGCTGTCTGGGCTGTATCCCCACTGCCGAGCTCCCACAAGGACAGCCAAGTGCTGAACTCACCCACACCTCCGCAGGAAGATTCTACAGGAAGAAGTAATTTCTAATACTGGTATTGCCATGAAATCTTTAGCACGTTTGCTCTCCTTGTATTCCCACTTGACAGCAAATCGAGAAACCGCCTTTGTCCACGCCATCAGCTCTGCGGGCGTCATGTACACGCTGACCCGGAACTGCAGCCTGGGGGATTTTGACAATTGTGGCTGTGATGACTCCCGCAATGGACAGCTGGGTAAGGAGAGATGAGCTGCCATGCCTCTCTCATGTCCTGAGAGCCAGGAGATGGCTCTTCTCCTCTACTGAGGCCTGCAGAAACAACTTCTGCTCCTGGTCCCAACACTGGGAACTAATGCCCAGAGCAGAGCTTGGCTTGGCTCAAACCAAAGTAGCTCTGTGGAAGCTAACAGGGCCACCTTCAATTTACACCAGCTGAGGCTGAGACCCTGATGTTTTCCATTATTTTCTAAATGAGCAGGAAAGTAGAAGCAGGTTGCAGTTTCCCTGGTTCAAATCAAGAACAGCTCTATTTAAACTGCCGGAGGGAATGACTACATCATATGGGCAGAGGAGAGGATCTGATGCCGTGCATCTAAACGGCAGAGGTCTGGTTAGAGATGTCGAGGCTGCAAGGGTCTACAGGTCCAGGGTGGCCTCAGAGCAGAATTACCAGGAGGCAAAGCTGGGTGGCATTCATAGACCTGGGCAGCGTTTTACAGTGTGGCAGGCACACAAAAGCACAACTAGGAGAACCACTCTGGCAGCACGTAGCCTTTATCCTGTTCCCATCGCAGCAGTACTGAGGTCTGTAGCCTCTAAGCACCCCTGGGTTGGGAACCCCAGGCTGCATGGCCCCAGCTCTCTGCTCAGCCTTCACAGGAAACATTGGCATTTCCACCTTCTGTTTTGGATGGAAAGAGGTCAAATTTCAACTTATCAAAAGTTTTTAAATGTCATTCCCCATCTAGCTGCACTGGGCAGTCCATCTGTGTCAGTTTATGACAAACTCATCTGGAGTGTCCAGTATTTAGTAAATTGTTTTATTGGCTAATTGGTTTTAAAATAGCCACTGGTCCTCAGGTGTCTGAGGCGTGGGATAGCCCGTCTCTAGCAGAGCAAGACTTCTGGGCAATGACACACCAAATTTTATCTTCTCTTCGTGACTGAGTGAGTCATGCTACAGTTCTCTTCCCCAAAACATATCTGGTTTTCATGAAAATTTTCCATAGTGAACTTAGAACCTTGGAAGGCAAAGGAAACGTTTGGGCTTGTCCAAAACAGCATGGTTCAATTCTAAAGGCCATTGCACTGACTCCAAGTTGGTGAAAGGTTTCCATTCTTCCTTCAGTCCTAGCTCTTGATTTGGACTTCATCGTCCACTGCAATTACCCACCTCTCATGATACACCCCTGTGTTTCCCTGGGAGAGGGGACCGCCATGCTCTGGGGAAGTCCGGGCAAGACCTGGGCCTTTGGAGAGATACATAAGGCTGTAAAACCACAAGTCCCAGGTTGTACTGCCAAGGCATGCTTGGGTCAGAATTTTCCACATTTCAAATCTTCACAAAGAATTTGACATCTTTCTCTAGGAGGGAGAGAAGCAAACTTCGTGTTTCCAATCAGCTGAGCTAAGTTATTGAGCTCCCACGCAGTTAGGAAAAGTACTTTCCACATCCTGCCACGCTGTTTGCCAGTTCTGTGCTGACTCCTTTGTTTCTTAATGATAACTGGAAAACTGGACCTTTCTGAGATGCCAAACATCACCCCAGGATTCTGGGTGTACCAAAGAGCCTCTCTGACACATTTGTGCCAGACTAGGGTTGTTTCCCAGCAGGGGTGAATCTGTTCCCTCTGACCAGGATACCTCCACCAGTTTGTTAATCCACCTTAGCAAGACGCTGTCCCTGCGAGTCGGAGTGAAACAGTTCAAGGCAGGGTTGGAGGCAAGGTGATTTAAGACCCAAAGCCTTATCTATATGGCTAATGCACAATAATGAACAGCTTCTGAATTCTGCTCTATAGAAAGCCTGAAAATCCCTGGGTTTGTCACACAGGACATACCCCTTCATTGCCTGTGTGAGCCCCAGCAGAAATGGCATGAGCCTGAGGGGAGGGAATCGGGGAGTATCATGAGGCAAAAGGCTGGATTTACCCCAGAGCCTCTCTCCCCTCCCATCACTCTGAGATGCTTTCTGGTCCCCAGAGCCACGAGCCAGGCAGACAGGGGGCTGAGTCCCTGACAGCGCATATCTCATCTCCTTTCCTAGGGGGGCAAGGCTGGCTGTGGGGAGGCTGCAGTGATAACGTTGGCTTTGGGGAAGCCATTTCCAAGCAATTTGTGGATGCCCTGGAGACTGGACAAGATGCCAGAGCTGCTATGAACCTGCATAACAACGAGGCAGGTAGAAAGGTGAGCCCCTCTCTCCCTCCAGACCTGACAGCACATACGGAGTTGGCTCTGGCCATTCATTGTGGAGAGTCACAACTTGCTGTGTCTAAAAGCACCAAGTCCAGAAGTAATTATTACCTTGATGAGAAGAAGGGGATGGTAGCAGTACTGGCATGATGGGTGTTGTTTACTCTAAGGTAGCAAACCTTCTGTGATTACCCTGTTAATAGCTTCATGCTGCCCTCTTTCTCCCAGCTTTAGTAGGGGAGTATCATGGAGAAGCAAAGGTGTGAGCTTTAAGCCAGCAACTCCTGGGCAGGAGTACTGTGCAGGGAGGGTCATTGGCAAACCCCTCCACAGGGCTGGAGCCACATTTCTTCATGCACCACAGCACAGAAATGACTCCTTTCAGCTTTTCCTGACCTCTCTCTCTCTCCTCACCCTGCAGGCTGTGAAAGGGACCATGAAGCGTACTTGCAAATGCCACGGTGTGTCAGGGAGCTGCACCACCCAGACCTGCTGGCTGCAGCTGCCTGAGTTTCGGGAGGTGGGCACTTACCTCAAAGAGAGGTACCACAAAGCCCTGAAGGTGGACTTGCTCCAGGGGGCAGGGAATAGCGCTGCTAGCCGGGGTGCCATCGCCGAGACTTTCAGCTCCATCTCCAAGAAGGAGCTGGTCCATTTAGAAGACTCTCCCGACTATTGCCTGGAGAACAAGACACTGGGGCTGCTGGGCACAGAGGGCAGGGAGTGCCTGAAGAGGGGCAAGGCACTCAGCAAGTGGGAGAAGCGGAGCTGCCGGCGGCTGTGTGGGGACTGCGGGCTGGCTGTAGAGGAGAGGCGAGCCGAGATGGTGTCTAGCTGCAACTGCAAGTTCCACTGGTGCTGCGCCGTGCGGTGTGAGCAGTGCCGCAAAAGGGTCACCAAGTACTTCTGCGTACGCAAGGAGAAGCGGGAGCGGAGCGGGGGTGGCGGGGCCAGCCGCAAGCTCAAGCGAAAGCTCTAACTTTCCCCTGCTTCTCCATGGTTGTGCCTGCCCCTCTCTTCTCCTGCTCTCTCTATCAGCCCCCAGCAACAATTCCCTTCGGCTTGGTTGTGTCTCATTCCCAGTGCCACCTCAGTGGCAAGGCAAAAGACCTTGTGTGAGCCACGAGACCTCGGCCACACAAGGCGTCTCCCATTAGTGCAGACTTCTGGGAAGACCCTCAACTGCTGACAAAAGAAGGTGAAATTTGGTTCCTTCAACTCAGAGTCACTCTATCCAGTGACTATGGTTTCATCATGGAAAACACACAAGGTCTTGGTGGCTTCTCCTCTTTTGAGCTTTTCTGTTCCCCATACAAACACCTCCTCTGGGCTTTTGAGTAAGTGATATCAACACTTAGGAAAGCACAAGGAAGCTGAAATGGCAGCATCGGAGTTGGGCAACTCAGAGTGGTATTCTCTAAAACAGAAGCAGCTTCTAAGTACCCTAAAATATAGAGGCCCTAAAATAAAGTTACTGCCTTTTATTAAGCCCTACACTATGAAGGAACAGAAAAGGTATGCAAGTCCCCCTGCGGCAAGCCAGCCTCCAGGACCACAGCATCACTCCCCATCCTCTGACAGCTTCACTAAGCTCTTTACTTTTCACTAAGTACTTTACTTTGCATTTGAGATGGCAGCAGCAAGGTTGAAGCTGTTGCATGACCTGCCCATTAAATAGTCAGCCAAAAGAGGAGTCCCATCACTTGCTTTTTAACCTGTTTCCTCTGTATCTTCTAAGCCTCCAGGTCTGGTCTCTCTTTTCACCTCAGCATCCCTGGCAAAGCCCTTGACTGATGCCATCACACTTCTGCAGATCCTCCCCCTCCCAAATCTCTCTCAGAGAGGAGCTGCCAGCTGAGCCCATTCCCCACCTCCCGGTGTACTTGCCAAGCACTCTTATCCTGTCAGCTAACTAACTAAATACTTCCTCCTAGTCTGAGAAAATAATGTCAGTTACTATTTAACGGTGTTGTAAATAGGAAAGTGAAGCACTTTGAAGTTTAATTTATTGCACAATTACTGTGATGTATACATAACAGTTTTTCTTCTACCGCTTATTGTATATATTCTATAGGCTAAACAAGCAGCAGGAAGATTTGTCTGACGCATCTCTGTTCCCTTCCCATGGTTCAGGTAGGGAGGGATGAAGCTGTCAGCTGCAGGACCTGGGGAAGCTCATTGCACCATCACAGTGATCTAACCCAGGCTGGGAGATTATCATCTCTGTTGCTGTTTGAAGCGTCCTTTAGCCAGATGAAAAGCCAGCAGAGCAAAGTTACTGGCCCTCAGACCTGTCTTGTAGCCAATATTTGTAAACCAATATCCAATGCAATAAATCAGTAACCAAGAAGTGCTTGCAAACGGCTGTTGTGTCTAAATAGTCGGGTGGGGTTTTTTCATCCAAACGCATGTGTGACCATACACAGTTACAGTTCTGGAGACTAAATCCCAAACGTTTACCCATCTGTTCAGCATATGAAGAGCTGAGCAGTTTCCTCCACGCAGCACGAGCCCGGCCCCTGCGAGGAGGCGAAAGGGCCTGCTCTCTCCTTAAGCGAGCTTGAGGTGGCATCCGACTGCGGTGCGGCCGCCGGGAGGAAATGGGGTGGCAGGAAGGCGGGCAAGGGCCCAGGGGCCCACTTTAGAGATGACACATTAAGGACACTCAGCACTCTGTATGTGTCTCTTAGTTATCCAATATCCTTTCAATCCTAGGACTACCTTATTGGGGGTGAAAATTTGGACCTAGGGCAAAGCCGGGGTCTCAGCAGTGCAAAACATTCGCGTTAAACAAGAATCGGGCCCTTTGAAAACTCCAAGAAACGACCTTGGCCCATTCTGGGGGAAACTCAAAACATTTCCACTTCACAGACAAACCCTCAGCTGTTTGCACAAAAGCTCTTGCTAATGCAGGGGCCCTGCCCTCGGTGCCCCTTGCATCCCCATCAGCAGCTTCTCCCTCTCCCTGCAGTGGGAACGCGTCCTTGGGCCGAAAAGCCAGGAGGGGGCAAGAGCCCCTGGCTCCAGCGTGGGCCACCGCAAGGCAGAGAGGGCAGCTTCCACCCCCGTGTCCCTCTGCACGCCCCCAGTCCGCAGCCAGCTGGAAACGTAAGCAAAGGGCCAGACGTGGAAGCTGATCCCACTTCCTCCCCCTCCTCAGCCCATGGTGCTACCCCGACCCTCCCCTGCTGACATTATTGCCCCCCAGTTGGCAAGGC